CTCTCTCACTCTCTGTCCCTCCCCCTCTTTCTCACGCTTTGTCCCTCCCTCTCTCTCTCTCACGCTCTGTCCCTCTTTCTCACGCTCTGTCCCTCCCTCTCTCTCTCTCACGCTCTGTCCCTCTCTCTTTCACGCTCTGTCCCTCCCTCTCTCTCTCTCACGCTCTGTCCCTCTCTCTCTCTCACGCTCTGTCCCTCCATCTCTCTCACGCTCTATCCCTCCCTCTCTCTCTCACGCTCTGTCCCTTCCTCTCTCTCTCACGCTCTGTCCCTCCCTCTCTCTCTCTCACGCTCGGTCCCTCTCTCTCACTCTCTGTCCCTCCCCCTCTTTCTCACGCTTTGTCCCTCTCTCTCACACACTTTGTCCCTCCCTCTCTCTCTCACACTGTGTCCCTCCCTCTCGCTCTCACGCTCTATCCCTCCCTCTCTCTCACACGCTGTGTCCCTCCCTCTCCATCACACACTCTGTCCCTCTGCCTCCTTTTCTCACTCCCGGCTCAAACCTGTCCCCCCTTCTCTCTCTCTCTCTCTCTCACACACACACTCTCACCCCCCCGACTGTCTCTCTCTCTCTCTCTGACACACACTGCCCCTCTCTCTCTCTCTCCCCCCGCATCCCGCGACTGACGCGGAATCTGATCTCCAGCCTCAGGCTCCGCGCTCACCCCCACCCCCCCTACCCCCTCACACCCCTACCCCCGCACCCCCTCACCAGAATCCTTAACGAGGCGGCCTCTCCTTGTTCCAAACTCTGGGGACCCCAAAAATTGGGTCGAAAGTCTTGTGCATTAACGCGATCGCTCTGCTCGGGGAGGGGGTTGGGGGGCATCCTTTAGGTGGTTCATTCACGGGACGAGGGGGTGTCGGGGGAGGAGGGTGGGGGTTTGGGGGGGAGGGGATTAATCGCTTGTCCCCTTAATTGCCCAGAGGGCAGTTCAGAGGGGACGGTGACCGGGGCTCTCGCTCGCCTCCCTTTCTCCGACACTAACCTCCGCCCTCTCCCCCCGCTCTCCCCCTCCCTCCCTACCCAGGAGCCCCTACTCGTGGGTGGTGGTAACAGGCCTGCAGCAACGCTCCGACTTCAGCAGCCACAGCCATGTGATGGTGGTGTCGAAGATCATCCGGCACCCGGCCTTCGACAGGGAGACGCTGCACAACGACATAGCGCTGCTCAGACTGTACCGCAGCATCGTCTACACCGCCTACATTCAACCCATCTGCCTGCCCAGGGACACGGGCACCGTGCCCGAGCTCAACCCCTGCTACATCAGCGGCTGGGGGGCGATGGAGACCAACGGTAGGGAGCCCCCAGGCCGTCTGAGGGAGCGGGCGGGGGGAGCTGTGGGAGGGTCACGGCGGTGGGAGCGGGCGCTGTTGGAGGGTCAGCGCCGAGGGAGCGGGCGTTGTCAGAGGGTCAGGGCCGAAGGAGCAGGCGCTGTTGGAGGGTCAGGGCTGAGGGAGTGGGCGTTGTTTGGAGGGTGAGGGGGCGGGCGCTGTCGGAAGGTCAGTGCTGAGGGAACAGGCGCTGTCGGATGGTCAGGGCTGAGGGAGCGGGCGCTGTCGGAGGGTCAGGGCCGGGGGAGCGGGGCGCTGTCGGAGGGTCAGGGCCGAGGGAGCGGGGCGCTGGAGCTGCGCTGGGATTGAGATGGGTTCTGTTGTTGCTCCCATAGTGGCAGAGAGGAAAATTAGCTGTGTGCCTTTCTGTTCTCTGTCTCTGTCTCTCTGTGTGTGTGTGTGTGTGTGTGTGTGTGCGTGTGTGTGTCTCCTCCCAGGCCCGTCCTCAGACACCCTGCAGGAGGCTGAGGTGAATCTGATATCCAACGAGGTGTGTAACCAGGAAGACTGGTACGATGGTATTATCACCTACTACATGCAATGTGCTGGCTATGAGGGTGGTCTTATCGATGGCTGCCAGGTAAACACCATGACTAACCCCCACGTACCCGACACTCACAGCGCGGTTTCGTGGTCAAATAAACCTCCACCCCTACTCCAAACACTCCCTATCTCTATGCCACCTCCTCCTCCAGC